GCTCGACAAGTGCAGGGGGGAGAAAGGTCGACATAGCTCAAAGAGTCGGTGTATTTTCGGCAAGAAGGGGATGTCTTCACGGGCAACATTAAGTAGCCCACCGAGTATTGCTTGATCAGATGCACCGAGGGCAGGCGTAGCAGATCAAATGGTGGTTGAGGGGCACGTTCACGGTTGGAATTATTGTTGAATGGAAGGTACGAGTCCATCAGCAGCCTGCTGGAAGATTTGATCTGCTCACACACCACGGGAATGAATCGCTCGGATCATCAATGCCTATCATGTCAAGGAGAAACACTTATGATACACTGCCCATGGCAAGAACCAAGTTGACTGTCATATATCTAAATATATCTAAATATCAAATGACTAAGAAGTGATGGCGAGAAAGGGATTCGCTCTGGAGTGCCGCGGTAGTATTCTTGGATTTCGCTGTTCTGCGGTCAAGGGTACCTCATAGCGATACGGTGCAAACCTGTTGAATGTGAATGTATGTCATCACTACTTACCATCGCATAATGCTGTGTTGGGTCGTGTGGCGGTTCAGCACAGATTATTGGTGATGCTCCGACGCACTATTTTTTGATACTCCACTCATTCTTACTCCTTCGATATGCAGAACAGGGGAGGCGCTCAATAAAGCTTTGCACATGTTCGGCGTTTCCGAGTCGGGTATATTGAGTTCGAGTTCGGCTGTTCTCGACTTTTAGAATGGAGCGTAGCAATGTTATCGACTCGCCTCCTCCTATGTGTGTGCTGGTTCTTTATCATCATTACATTTTTGTTTCCGTACAGTGCTTAATTCCGATCACAAAAATTGCCGTATTCACTAATTATAAGACACCTGGAGTAAATTTCTTCTGCTTGACTTTGCGTGTGCCATCATTCCTCTTGTACTTCAACATCGCATCCGGATGACGTTCTCCGCAATTATAACGCTTGTCATGAGTCAGGCAAGCCGATATGAACCACGGAGTCTGTATGGTACTGGCATGACCTTGTTTACTGTCTGGCATTTGATCCCACCTTGAGTATACTGAGGGGCCCTTTTCGACGCGGAAGCGTCAACGTACAACTAGCACGATGTCATTATCGGCGGCAGTCGGAAGTTCAGCGCGCTTAACCAGTTCCATTCTGATTCCTATTCCTGCATTGCCAATAACCTGTGTTTCTATTTGATTCATGTCGTCCTTCAACCTTTCTTTCCGACCGCCGATGCCGCTGCATCAGCAAATTGACAAAACACCTTTTGGCTGCTTTTTTGACTTTTAAGAGGACAAAAGGTGAAATGGGCGAAAACACTGCAGTGAAAGGAAAATATTACCTAAGGAAAATGGGCCTAGAACTAGGTAATTGAGTTACCGTGATGGAAAATTTCAGTCTATTACCTAAGGATAAAAGATTGGAAAAGTTGGCCTTTTACCGCGAGATTCCTCAGGGACAGAGGCAAGATTTTTCTGAGGGAAAATTCTGGCCACAAATTTCCAAGAATAGTAGCCAGGCTGTTTCCGTGGGTAAAAGCTTGAATTTTACCTTTCCTTTGTGCTTGCTTTGTCTCGCTAAAATTCAGGCTCGTACCGGGGGAAAAAGACCGGCTATCGGTAGCAAAAGCTCCCAGGCCGGAGCCTCTTTGGGAAAAATCCTTTGTCTACATGGAAATCTCACGATAAATGGCTGCCTTTTCCTGTCTTTTGTCCTTAGGTAATAAACTAAAAATTTCCATTTGTTACCTAGTTCTAGGTCCATTTTTATTAGGTAATACTTTCCTTCCACCGCAGTGAAAAGACCCTTTGTCTTTAAAAGCAAGGTCCCTTGGCTTTAGTATTTACAAGGGGAAAAAGTCCCAAAAAAAATCGAAAAAGGCGAGAAATCACGTTCTTCAACGCCCCAGCGTCCCTACTAATAGATTAGAATAATTAAATAATGTCACGGTGTGAACAGTGGAGGCCACAAAACTTCATTCTGGGGGGTAATCTCCGAAGTTGCCGATCAGGGCCAAAAAATTATGGGCTGATCAAGGCCCCTGGCATATCCCAATGGAGGCCCATCCAGGCAAATTTGGGGAGTTTATAACACACTTCCAAGTTTCCGTGTCTGTTGGCCAGAGGAGTCACCTGACTAGTATTCTGGGTGTTGGAAACCAGTGATGGCTTAGGCTTCATAGGGCCTAAAAAATTAAGGCCCTATTGGGCCCTAAGCTAGGGCCCTAGGGTCAAGAAGGTTTGTGTTAGGGCCCTACATAGGCCCTATAGATCATCTTATCTAATCTGGACATCATAATATCTGCGGACAAAATTCTGAAGTAATGGCCGAAGATAATGTTGGAGAAGCTTTTCGAGTGTTGTAAACCTTCTCTATGCCACGCACGCTCTTGCGGATGCCGAAAGAGGACCAGGTTACTGACAACAGTTGCAATTGAAATCAACTCGGAGGAAGCGTGCCAGTTGGCATAAAAATACAAAATTTCTTTTTTTGGCGATAGGGCCCTATGCCGGGCCCTAAATTTAGGTGCTTAGGTCCTTGTAGGGCCCTTTGGGGTCCGGGTGTGCGATTTAGGGCCCCTATGGCCATCACTGTTGGAAACATCCTGATTCCTATCGCGCATTCTTTGAGGCCACTAAAATCACAAAAATCTTCACGGTTCAGGATTTTTGTGGTCAAATTAGGCCTGAGTTTGGGGATTTTGGGGCCCCCGAGTCTATACTAGGGACACGCCCAGGGCCTGCTGATCAACTGCAATGACATGTTGCGTACGTCACAGCTTAGCTTCCCGGTCTCCGTTACACAATTGCTCGACTACCCTGTATACACTATATTTGGCTGGACTGGCACAGTGGCACTTGTACATGTAACTCTTCCGCACGTCGCCAATGATCGATGAACTCGTTTGGGCACCACACCGCACTACCATACATTCTAATTGGAGCGTGCTGGCATGGCAAGAAGTGAACAATGTATTCATTACTTCGCATGGTCACCAGTGAAGTCCGAAATCTTGACCTTGTTCAACGTCACGGTCATGTTCTCGAACACTTCTCCCTTGGTCCTCGGCATGGCCTGCCTGGCCCTGCCAAAATAACATTGTACTACTGAGACTTGCCAAACATGTCGGCACATTCAGTGAACATTCCGCTAAATTACTGTCGCTTAGCAGACACTGATCTGAGGTTCCGGTTAAGTTTCCCGCGGCCGACACTATGGGATGTTTTGTGAAACTTTCGTAAATTATATTTGAGGGATATAATTTACCTCAATTAACATGGGAGGCATTTGGCGAGACGTGCCAGTTGCTACAGCGGATTCAGAGTGGTGGGCCATTCATCCCAGGGAACCTGAATATGAGGCAAGAGACCATTACAGAGCCACAGCTGTTGATGCGAATCCTGCATTTCTTCACAAAAGAGCAAAGCCATGACCTGTTACATAAACTCGGTCCATGTTTGGGTTCCCGAATCTCGTGTTTCATTCGCCAAACCGAACCTTTCTGAAATGAGAAATTGCTGGTGCTACACACTGCCCGTAGCACTATTGCATCTGTTGCGGTATCCACCTTTTAGCAGCCGGCACGCTTCAAACTTTATGCTCAGCCTATGATTGTGAAACTTTGTCTGCTTTGTTCAGGCAGCGCCCTGCCAAAAAATGTACGCCTAGCAAGACAATAGTCCACACGTTCGTAGGCATCTCAGATGGAGCCGAGAGTTACTTTTTGAGCTCATCAATAGTGGGGGAAAAACTCATCCGTAGATGGTGAAGCCCCGGAAACTTTATCACTGTCGAATAGAGACTCAGGCGTGTCGGTGTTAAGCGCTCAAACACCTGTGCTGAAGAGACAGCCGCGCGGACAGAGCTACTGTTCTGTTGAACTTTGTGCTGGACTTGAGGAATTTTAAATCTGAGAAGCAACTCCAAGCAGAGAGATCAGGTTATTTAAGGTGAGGAAATCAGGGAGGCCTCTCGGCACAGTAGGTAATGACCTCTTCTCAATTATGATTTTAGCAGACTTGAGGACCAAAAGCATCAAAACGTCAGCATATTTGAGGCCACTTTAACTCAACCATTAATTGTGTAATGACGTTTGAACCGCAGTAAATCCCCAACTCTGAGCTTATGTAATTTGCTCCGCACAATATTATTATGTGGAGAAAATTTTAGTTACAGCCCAGGTTCAGAAATTTGTGGAACTCGAAGGCAAAACGTAGCATTTGGTTCGGGTTTGAACTGATTCCTTGATCCGTATTTTGACTTGTATACACACAGATTTGGTTATCTAGTTTGGAGACAAATGAGAAAAATAACACATTGAGCTGCAGCACGAACATCTGCAGTCTGATTCAAGGGATCTGCTTACTGTTGGTCGCATCAATATCGAACATATCATTGTGGGGTTGGTATCGTTTGTCGTGATATGTGATTATGTAACATCTGGGATTCTTGAACAATGTTCTCCATTGAGCGCATGGATCGGACATCTCGAAAAGACATTCCGAACACAGTCATACACGTAAACGTCCGCTGTCGCTGCGCAGCGCTCAAATTCTTCTCTCAACTGAAACCATTAGTTTCATCCGCGCTTCCAGCCGATTGCCCGGTTTGGTTTATCTTATCGATTTACCCGATATAGTATGGTTTATCACAAATCACGTGTTGTTTTTCACTTTTGCCGGTTGACAAGGGAACGATATTGACTGATAGTTGACAGCGATCATTTCGACCTTCGAAAATAAAAACGTACCTGAAAACAGATCCGGGCATTCGTTCTTCCTGTAAATGTCGCACCGTCGCCTTCGTCCATTCAGAGGGAGACCCCCAGTGGCACGGGTTTGCCCGCATCCCGTCTTCCTCCGACCCGGACTTCCCGTCGTATTTGCCCCCTGCGTCGCGAAGCCCGGACGGTCAGCCCCCGCTAGACCGGTGCTTCGAAGCACCCTCCTCCCCTCGCGAATCCACACCGTACCGATCACCTACCTTGCCTCTTACCCAGAGCGGCCAAGAATGCTGCAGGGCTAATGGTGTAGTTGGTTATCACGCTCGCTTAGCATCATCGTTCTGATAGGGTGTGTGCGAGAGGTGTCCGGTTCAATTCCGGATTAGTCCATTTCTCTCTTTTTTATTTGGATGCATAAGCGATTGAACATTGCGCATATAATACGTACTTGCGTGTCGGTTGACTCCGGCCCGTCATTGGTGCCGTGCCATGTATATAAGGTAGGGGACAGGCAAATACGGTTGCCCCACGTGCCGTTACGGTCACATGCCCTTTTTGGGACAGACTACGTTTCGACCCTCCTTTGCACAACTCTTGGAGGGTTATCAAAAATCGGCTTCAACAATGTTGTGTGTATGTATGCTGAGTGTAATTGTGAATTTTCTCAAGAATTTTGGTGTAGAATTGAAGGACTAGTTACAATTATACTATTAATATGGTACAAGTATGGTACAAACTAGCATTTTCATTCCCTCCCCACACAGTTCCAGCTGCAAACATCTCCTTTCAGAAGTCCTTGAGAGTAACATGCCCAGCACAATTGAGCAGGTCCAAGAACCAATTTGTTCTTTGCCCTCACCATTTTGCTGCTGTATACCACCACAGGCTGGTCAATTCACGGGCTGCTTGTGCAGTGAGGAAGTACAGGGGACATTATGTCTGTCCTCTGAATTTTAAAAAGGACATGTTGGCAGCTGGAATTGTGCGGGGAGGGAATGAAAATGCTAGTTTGTACCATACTTGTACCATATTAATAGTATAATTGTAACTAGTCCCAGTGATGCACATAGGGCCCCTATTTTGAGGTCCAGGAGTCAATAGGGCCTATTCAGCCCTATTGCCCTATATATAGGGCGAAAAATAGGGCCCTATTTTCCCAAAAAGGAAATTCCTTTTAATTCAAAACTAGTCCATGTATACTCTTGCTATCTCTATACCAACATTGTTGAGAATATTGTCCTTCAGCATCAGCAGCATCTTCTGTGGCATCATCCTCTGCCTGCTCTTCGATCTCTGCATGCATCGGGTGGGGAGGAGCAGCACGGCCTTCGAAGAGCTTCAAGTTAGCGAGTCATCTTCAAGTTGGGCCCACGGTAGACACATTGGGACAGATTTCCTGCTCTAGGTCTTCAGAAGGTGCGTACTCGGGTCGTGGTCTGATCCGATCAAAAGCTAAGATAAGATAAGGTATAGGCCCTACGTAGGGCCATATACGCGGCAGACTTGTGGCTAGGGCCCTACAATAGGGCTCATAGGGCCATATTTTGATAGGGCCCTATTGCCCATAGGTGCATCACTGACTAGTCCTTCAATTCTACACCAAAATTCTTGAGAAAATTCACAATTACACTCAGCATACATACACACAACATTGTTAAAACCGATTTTTAATAACCCTCCGAGAGTCGTGCAAAGGAGGGTCGAAATGTAGTCTGTCCCAAAAAGGGTATGTGACCGTAACGACACGTGGGGCAACCGTATTTGCCTGTCCCCTACCTTACTTCATTAATTCAAAAACACGTGACTTTTGATGGCATCTAACCTCGAGAGAAAATTTAATAAGGCGCGTAGAGCCGGCGAGCGGCAGGGCCCGCTACCTCTTATAGTCTGGTCACTGCCTAATACGGAATGGAGTAAAATTGACCCAAAATTCGGTGTTTTTGGGGTCCGAATAGAGAGTAAAATGGCCTCCGAACGACGAGCGCCGGTCCGCCGGAGAGTAAATCTGGGGAGACAGACAGAGTGCCCAGAGCCACGAGATTGAACTCATTAGCAGCTTAGATCTGTTGAAGTAATTAATAACAACTCACGGCGACAGATTCTGCAATGGAGCCACTGGCAGATGCAAGCCGGTGCAAACCGCTTTGTTCCTGCCAACTGGATCGGAGTCAGCAAAGTCATGATCGGGACGTCCCGGCCTATGTCGCGGCAGTGTTCAGGCTCTATACATCCGAGGTCAGTGATAGGCCAATGTGGAATTTGAACCTCCCCGTGGTGCAGCCAAGAAGCAACGCAAGGTGCCCAACCGCACATCACGCAAAATGAAACGGGCCTGTCTCCGATGGGACGAAGCGCATCAGCTGGAAGGCGAAGCGTGTGAGTCCGGTTCCCGCGCGGAACTCTTTGCATAGCATAACATAATGTGAGTCACTTCAGAGAGAACAATAAAAATTCTACGTCACTGGGACCAAGCGCATCACGCCAAGGCGCAGCACAGCCACCGCAAAATTGTAGGTTTTTATTGTTGTCTCACATGCTTCGTCCCTAAACCCACTACCTAAAGGTAGCGGGAATCATTAATGGCGGGTTTCCAGAAATCGGTGCGACGCGTGACATTGAAAATATGGTTGATTCACTATTTATCACACCTTACAGTAATGGCCTAAAGACACGAAATTTTAAAACATAGCCTGGAAATTTGAACTACCATGACCAAACCGTGACATGACATAACAACATATGCACCAAAAGCACAGCAGCTGATACGCACAGCTTGAACACTCTATAATAACTCTTGAAAGACAACTTGAGACTTGTATACGGAAAGAGCACACGCACGCAGTTGTGCAACTCATATGTAACCATAAACATTAAATACTATGCTCCATGAGGGCAATTGTAATTTAGAGCGTTCGGGAATGGCTTCGGCGGCGTCAAAAAGAATCCGGCGCCCGCATCTTGGGCCTAATCAAATGTCAGACGACGGCAAATTGCTCACCCGCGGTGTGAGGACCTCAATGTCCCAGAGCAGGGGGTCTTGTCACTCTTGAGCACGCTCGTCGTAATGTACACCCCGGGCTTGCCGGGGGTCGTCCCGAGAGTTTCGACGACGCCAGCGGGACGAACGGGGAGATGGGCCCGGGGGAAGTTCGGCATGCGGCGGCCGGGGCGGTCGAAGCAGAAGGTGTGCACGTCTCGCCGTCGAGTGCCGCCTCGGTGTACGCCTTGTCGTCGGGGCGCACCGCGTTCGGGGAGGCCACGTAATCATGGAGCCACCGCTCAACCACCGCCGAGTCCTACGTGATCACCAGGATCGCCTCGTCCCGGTGCAGGCCCTCGCGCACGGCGTCGTAGATACTATGCTTCACAAACACCTGGCCGTAGCTCGTTCCCCAACGGGTGCATCGAGTTGGTGTTCCCGTCGCGGTGATCATGAGTAGGAGCCTGTCGACGGATGTCTTGCCACAGACTCGGATCCGAGTCTTGAAGTAACGTTACTGAGCCGTTGTACCAGATAATAATTCTCAACAAGGATTTCATTTCAAGTGAATAAAGTTCGTAGGGTTACTATCGACTAGTGAAACAATTTCGAGTTCAAGATCGCTTTGCTCGGCGTTCTGATCGCCTGGACATGATACGTCGAATAAGCGATATTGAACAGCATTGAAAGCGGAAAGTATTACCGTATGGTAATTCAACCCCCCGTCAAGAAGTGCAGACTGTTCCTCCAAGTGGGACAGCTCCAAACAAGTAGATGAACTGGTCGATGATATGCCGCTCGTCGTAGTCGTCTTCATCTTCATCATCACCGTCGGCGTCTTCATCTTTGTCGCCGCCGTCAGCGTTGTTGTTGTTGTCGGCGGAATTGCCGGCGCGTGCGGACGGGGGCGGCGGCGGTTGGTAGGAAGCTGGCGGGGGAGGGTTCCCATCCTCGGGCCATTCGCAATACGGCCGCGCCAGCAACAACACCCTTTCCACTTCCTTTGCCTGCACGTGCGACATCTTGCCATTGAGGTAGCCGAGCAGGATCAACGCGTGGATTCCGGTGAGGCGGAGTTCGCTCAGTGTATGCGGAGGGATCGCTTTTTTGACCCGAGCGGGGTTTACCTTGTCGAAGTCAATGGGAGAGTCTAGCGGCGTCTGTTGAGTGAGAACCTATTATAGTACGTTCAATGCAACTGTTGAGTCTTGACTAGAGAGGTGACTGCTCACCCAGGTCTTCAGAAGCGAAATCGCAGCGTCAATGCGGGCTCGGTAGTTGGCGACAATCAAGGCCTCGTCCACACCCTCCACGTCCTCGGGCGCCGCAAGCCCCTCCTCGACCAGAATCTTCTTGGAGATCTGTTTTGCTGAGACGGTCTCAAGGAAGGCAATGGTCGCGCGAAGCACGACGGCGCTGAAGTTCATGAAGACGTGCCATGAAGTCCAGACATCGAGGTGAGGGTCGGAAATCTCTTCACGCGTTTGGCCAGGTCCTAAAACATACACAGAGCCGCCCATCGTGGTTGCTTGGTGGTTAGGAGAAGATATTTGGTTAAGTTTGCATATTGCTTCGTCATCAATTTAAACGGCTACAGTACTTATGATCGGAGGACGGCTGTGCCGTTCGGCGGTCCGCCAACCTTCGAAGTCATCGTCGTGACTTTGGGGCAGTCTCGAGCCAAGTGGCCATGCTCTTCACAGATGAAGCAGAGGCCCGGGCCCTAGGCCGGCATTTCGGTACGCCGAGCCGCAGACATCCGACTAAGTCGCCAACTCAACGGACGATGTGTGCAGCGTCGACCGTGACATTGATGATTTTGCGTCCATGCGGCAGATTCATCGTCGTTCCTGCCCAAGGTGAGCAGTCGTTCAGCGATCTGGGCATGTTTGAGCACTTCATCCCACCCTGAAATCTCGGGGTCAACTTGAAGGTCCTTCGTAATCGTTCTGGGTCCGATCTTCAACTTCAAGCTCGTCGTCGGCATCCCTGTGTTTGCCGAGTTCTCCGAGCTGACACTGCAGCTCGGCAATCTTCGCCGCGATCGCTTGCGCTCTCGTGAGTCTATGCCGCGTGACTCACGGGGTGAAGGTTCAGAACGTTCAGATCTAATCTTTTCTGCCGCTCTGAAATGCGCCGCCACTGCGTGTCGAGCCGCACGGAGCACGACCGAGGCTTGTCTGTATAAGCACTGAAGTAATTGCAATCCAGTCTCGGAAGCCGGAGAACCAATGTCCAGTATCTACGGACGACCGGGAATGTAGGAGCTCGTGGAGTGTGTTGTCCTGGAGGCCCAAGGCGGAACCGGAGACGACGGATGCCAGTGTCACCGTGCCCAAAGATCCTTTGGCTAAATAGCCCGCGTCAACGAGACGTCGGCAAAGAACTTCCGAGGGAGGATGTTTATGTA